GGAGGTGTTTATAACTGCCAGGACCCAGGGAGTAAGTCAGAACAAATAGAGAGTTACTCCATTCTATCCCACACATCCCACCCCCTAGGGCTGGGACAAGGGACAAGGAGGTGCTTTTTAAAAAAGAAAGAAAGAAAGAAAGAAAGAAAAGAAAGAAAGAAAGAAAGAAAGAAAGAAAGAAAGACCATGCACACACAAAAAACTCCTACCCTTTGATTGCTTCTGTGCAGAACAGAGACTCATATTTAAATGAATAAGCCAAGTTAAAACTTTCCCTCCTAGAACAAAGCAAAAGGAAAGCCTCTTATGTTGCAGCGGCTATAGCTGCCCCGGGCTGAGCCTGTCCCAAAGCTTCCCTCCACTGCTCAAAAACTAAGCCATCTTGCTGCATTTAGCACTCCTCACCAGACCACCCACCCAGACGCGGATACACAAACCACATGTGTGAGGAATGCTGTCCGGCTAGGAAATCAGTATCACTATTTCAACCTTATTACTTGCACAGACAGCCCTTTTAGTGCAACTCATTTGTTTTATCTTTTCAATAGCTTTGATTATTTTCTTTTAATGGCCTGGATTTATCCTTTTCTACCCTTTTGAAACTTCAGAACTCTTAGGCGGGGGCTGCATGGGGTGGAAGACATGATTACGAGGGGAAAATGAGCAAACAGCTTTGCCTTGACTCCCCCCACCCCACCCCTCCCCGCTCCTTGGGGCCATCTCTTCCGTGCAGACTGCCCAGTGCCCTAAGTGATCATAAAAGGGGACCCAGCGGCCTTCCCACTCAGGTGGCAGACTATTTCTGTTGTTACTTAATAGTTATGGGGCTCAGTTATAATTACTGAAATGTCTTGTCATCTGTGCCATGGACTTCTCTCCCTTGCCCTTGGGAACCATACTGGTTACCTTCCTTTAATTAAGGGGGAAATGAAGACCAAAAGGCCGAGTGGACTGCCCAGGGCAAGTTAACAACCTCTGGAAGAGCCTGGAAATGACGCTACAAAAGGGGACCACGTAAACAGGAAGGTGTGGATACTATTACCCGGCAGAGAGCACAGAAGCCCTGGAATGTGCTCAGGATTTTCTATTTGGGTGGCATCCGGGCAAGGACACCTATAAATACCCTCTCGTTGCTCCACTAATCAGAACAAACAAGTCCATTAGTTTGGCACACTTTGTCCCCAGATTACCAAGCAGACAGGTCTGGGCATCAGGCCTCGGTTGAACTGCCGTCTCCTTCCAGGACCCCTTGCCTATCCAAATGGGAACACAATTCAGAGAGAGCTGGTGGAACAAATGGGCTGGGGCAAATGGTGGCTCAGCACACCTCGTGAGTGAGACCGCTCAGGGACGGTATCCTGAGTTGTCTTCAGCACACCCAAGCTGCCTGTCTTGACTTTCTCTGTGCTGGGGAAAATGCAAGGCCATTATTTTCAAGTAACGAAATCAGAATCTAGGCTGAAACAAGGGAAGAGATGAGTCCAGTTTGAGCACCGTCCTTAGAAAGCTCCGCTGCCAGCCGAGCCCTTCTGGGACTGATGCTCCCACACCTAAAATGGGCTTCTAGTTGATACTGCACAAGGCAGTCCGCTATCTCAGCCTGAAGATAGGTGACCTTGTCAAACTTGCTGTTAAGTCTCTTTACTATTAACTAGAGCATTATATCCAACTGCTGGGGTATTTGCCAAACTGAAAGTATTCTATTCTCTTTGAAGTGCAGTTTCTCCTTCCTGTCTAATCAAGGTAGCATTTCTTGCTGCTAAAGTAAACGCAGAGCCTTTCACAGTCGGACTTTGTCCAGTGATAGTGCATTGTTTAATTTATGCACCAAACCTTCCAGAGAAACAGGGGGAAAGAGAAAAAATGCCACGTACAAGGAACCTGGTTTATTCTAAGAACGGGCCCCACTGTTTCTTGCCCAGTCTCTGCAGAGCTTAAGAAAGGGCTGGTTTTAGGACACAGAAAATGCTGTTAGGCCCAGGGGACTCAAAGATGGAGGGGGTGGGGGCAGGATTATGCCCTCAGCTGGTTCTGATCTCTCCATTCAGTCTTCCTTGGGACCAGCGTCACTTCTTGAAAAAGGCCAAGGGCTTGTTTCCCCCCATACGCAAAGCGGAAACCAAACTCTGGTCAGATGACTCTTGACAATTAGTAAGACTATACATTGTAAAGAACATGGAGCCACAGTGGATTAAATATGAATTTAAGTAAAACACCTATTTCTGTCAATCTGTACTTATATTTCAACATGGGTTTTAGAGATGGGAAATACATCTTATGAATGCCTTGTAGTTCACATAATAGCATCTACACACACATACACAGTGTATCTTTCAACATAACTACACATACACACTCCATTAAAAAAGATACTGACAGATTTAGAAAATATATTGGCCTTGCACTGTTCATCTCAAGAATACGTTTTTGCTTTAGTTTTGCACCGCCCAGTAGCTCTGGCCACCGTGACGGATCTGTCAGCATTTCCATCGTAACTCTATTTGCAGATACTGGAGTACAAGTGCCAAAATACATATTTACAGTTTACAGACCACGGTGGCTTTGTCTTCCTCTGAAATTGACTTCTTCAATGCATCTTTCCAAAGAATATCCAGGGATGGCAGTGCCTACACGATCAAAAGCATCATATGAAACAAAAGGGGTCAAAGATGTAGACTTCCAGCCCAAGAGTAAACTAAACCATGGGTAAGGGACTCCGCGTTCTCTGCAGCTGGAGTTGTCTTTACAGCAGAGTCCCCAGTTGGCAGGCTCCCCTGCCACAGTCTGAAGCAACCTTAGAACAGGAGCATGTGCGTGTGTGTGCTGTACACAGTGTGAGAACACAAAACACGAAAGGCGGGACGCCATGCACATACAGCAAACTATTCCAGAGCCGATCACTTTCAAAGTGCGATAAATGAACACAAGCCACCAAACGCGAACGCTGACCATTTCCAAAACACTGGCCATCCAATTCTGTTACCTAGGCAGAATTTAAAACATTTAAGAGCAAGGTCTCTCGTAAAATCAATGTAACTAACGTTAACGTGTGGGGTTTGAAATGCACAGTATGTGACGTCACGCAGGCCCGAACTGTGAGTGGTGTAAAAGGTGGGCTGGGTTTGTAAAAGGTTATCGGCATAAACATTTTTTGGTGGAAGAAAACCAACTTCTTTGGCTCTTTCCACAACAAAGTGAGTAATTATTCAGATCAGAGAGATTGGCTAATAAATTTAAAAAAATGTTTAGAACACTCTCTTAGGACTTATTTCTTTTAGAGTTTTGGTCCCCTCATCTGTAGTTTTTACACTTCTCCCTACTTTGACATTTCTCCCTACTTTCTGACATAGTATGCAAGCACATACAGACACAACCCTTTGTCTGCATAAAGGGAGAGGGAGAGGTGGACATTTTTGTTGCTGACATAATTGCTCTATGTTAACTAACACAGAAGCATCTCCTCATACAGAACCCTGCCCCCAAACCAGAAGCCAGCCAATTTATAAGGGGGGAAAATGCTCTGTAGATAGGTCTTTACCCCCTCAAAGTACAGGAGGAAAATGCAAAGAAAATTTCTCATATTTGGCTGGCTCAAACTATATTCACACTCACCCAACTGATTTTACTTGAAACCTATCTAAGAAATTAAACCCTACCATTCTCCCTTTGTGCTTAAAAAGCCAAAGCCACCATCAGGACACACATGTGCCAAATATAATTTTCAACAGATCTCAATGGTGTTTATAAACGTGGCAGAACCAAGAGGGTTACTGGAAGAGATGTGTAACTATCTGAAATCAATTGAAAGGGGATTTATTATTTCCACATTTAAAGATTCGATAAGAGTAAGAATACAACTTGCAAAAAATCAATAATGTGACCCTCACTCTATTGAAATTTTGTGGAAAACTCATTCTGCTCTCTCCATGAGGATTAGAGGATGGGGAGGTTTTCTTGAATTTTGTTACTGATTTACAAACTTCCATTCTGACGATATTCTGAAGACATCTGCTTTATTGACTAAATTTTAGGTCTAGAGTTTACCACTGCAATAGCTTCCCTTCTTGTCCATTTTTGTTTGGTTGCTTATGATACCTAGTTGCCTGGTAAGTGGTCAGAGGAAGGAGAAAAATCTTCACACTGTCAGATCATTTTACCACACAACTTAGTTACAAAAATAAAAAAGGCCCAAACTACATATATACATTTCTAGATACACTACACAGATATTTTAGTTAAACCACATCCATTTCTGGCTTAATGAGCATATGTGGATTAGCAGTTAGAAATGTTTAAAGATTATTAAATTTTGCAAACAATTCATGTAAGCATCGCCCTCCCCATTCATCCGCAAGTTAAAAACAAAACCAAACACAACTAAAACCATGCCTAAAACCACACACTTCTGTCACCTAATGTCCAAAATGACTCCAAGTTTCTCTGGAGTTAAACATTGAGCAGGGGACACACAACAAATGCTTCAAGGACTGTTCATGCCAGCCATCAAGAATCGTAACATTACCGAAAAAGTACACTTGTCCTTGGGGAGGATGCTTCACAAGTAATTTACAAGGAGCATGGCTGTATTATTTTTTTAAAAGGAAAAAAATAGTGTCTTTGGATAGAAAGAAACAATGTAAAAAAAAAATCCCCTTTTTAAAATGCAGAAAATAACTTCATTATCAATCTGCATTTACATTACTGCCCAAAAGAATGGGTCTGGAAAGACCATTTTCTGTACAGACACTAGTTAATCTCTGTATGAAAAGACAGCATCTGGCACAGGAATAAACAAGGGAGAGCCTAGAGACTGGTCTATTCGCACACATAGAGGCTTTCTTAAGGCTGATCCACTGAATAAACCTTTGGATCCAGAAGTATTTCTTCATTTTCCTTCTTTTCGATTGAGTTCCTAGCAAAAACTTGGAAGATGAGCTGTTCTCACTTGGCATATCTCCATTTACGGAGAGGATGGAATAAAGACACCAAAAGAACTTTGGTTTTTTTTTTTTTTCTTTAAAAAATAATTCGCTTTCTTTTGCATGCCACAGGACAGATTTCTAGTTTTAAAACAGGGTACATCAAGAACAAAAATAACCCCCCCCTCCCCAACCATCTTTATTTTCACCAATATAAGAAATCCTTCTGGAAACATAAGCAAGTGACTAAACAGGCTCGAACCACTGAATCTACAAGTTAATACATGATCTGTTACGGCAGAATAACCAAGGATTTTCACCCAAAGAAAGATTTTAATTTTCCAAATATAAAAGAGTCTACGAGGATCATTCGTGAACAAAAATCTCTTATTCCAGGTTTTATGGTAAAGATGGATAACACACTGGCAGCTGAAGAAAGCTGAAACTCTTACTAATAAATAGATCCAAATTAAGAATTTCTACAACATTTCTTTAGAAAACAGAACCAGAATTCTTTTTTTTTTAAACGATGATCCTGTGGAATGCCTTTACTTCCGTCTTTCTCTAGTATTAGAAACAGTAAAACAGACACAAGGATGTTGATTGACAGCTCAACAATGCTGGATGCAGGACGTTTACAGGTACACTTGTTTAAAAGTCCTACAGGTTTATTGACTAAGGCTAGACAACAACTCATATGATCCTATTTGGTGCATTTCCTACCATGGTCCAAGATCATTATATGGACACAGCCAAGGGCTGGGCCCCAACTTTCAGGAGAAAGACCACAAAGAAGAAAATCAGGGTGGCAATTTGGTCCCCCCAGTTGATTATTTGTGTCCTGGAACTGGAAAAACAAAAGGTGGCAAATACAGACTGCAACGAGTAAAAGGACTTGGAAAAGTTGGCGGAGAGTGGCATGGTATACGAGTAAGGTCACTGGGCTTGGGATGGCAAGGGCGCTGCACTGAAAAGAGCATCCGTGGGACCAAGTACTTATAATGTCTTGTGGTGTCATTCCCTCAACGACTTTAGAATATCTGTATGCGATAATAAATAGATCAGTTATGTAATAAGGCAGTGTGTTGAATATGCATTCGTCCTGTGGAATGAACCACCACAGAGAGAGAGACAAGGATACCATACACATTCTTGAAAGTTTTCTTGTGTTGTGTTTGATTTGTTTGTTTTCAAGGCTATCCAGGCTAACTCTTCCCGGGGATTTCCTTGGAGAGAAGAGTGGTCCGCTGAGGCTGGTTTGCTTAACCTCTCCTTTATCAAGAGATGATGACTGGCTTTAAAGAAAAATAAAGCTGAAGGTTGTTTGATTTTTATTTTTTTCCCTTTTGGTTGCATCATTCTGAGTGTTTTCATATAAACAAACAAAAAAAAAATCACAACCAAAAAAAAAAAAAAAAACCAACAATAGTTTTTGATGCATCCAGTTGTTGTATCCTCAGGAAGTTCCAGATGTTTCCAGGTAACTCTGTAGTTTACGGACTGTGGTTTTGTCCAACGAGCAAAGGTCAAAATCAAATGTCGTGTTTGTGATATGAAAGTGTCCAGTTTCTTCTATAAGGTTCACGATCTAAGAGAGTAGAGAAGAGAAAGATTGGGCAATGAGCAATGGACATCACAAGGCAAAGAGAGAGAGGTGGATGGGATCAAATATGGAACGAAGAGACTAATATTCTCCTTTCTATTCAGAGGATCCTATGCTATGGATGGCATGGAACCATCCTTTAGCCAATGTGGTAAGCCAAAAGACTATTAACCCTTTGAAATTCTTAATCAGAGCAGATTTCCTGTTCTCCTCATTCATAGCCTTTAAACTGATTCCTCCTTTCAAGTCATCAATAGATTATTTTACTGTCAGGGTGGTTAGGGGGAGATACAATTTCAAAACCCTTTTAAATAATACTTACTCAACAGGTAGCGACTTTCCTTATTAAACGTAAGGAAATTCCATCCTAGAGATAGCAACATTCCTTATAAAATGAAGTACACACACACACACACACACACACGTTATAATGATCCTTTTTCTTTCTGATTATGTTACTGAAAACTCAGAAAGCATAAAACCCACAAAAGGAAAAAGAGGAATCATCTATAATCCCACCCCCTGAAGACCATGGGTAGTAACTGGAAGGGGGCCGTAACTGTTTCATTGCTTGATTTGGGTGCTGGTTACAAAAGATGTGTTCACTTTGTTAAAATTCAGCTTGCCATACCTTTATTTTACCTCAACAAATTGAATAAAAACCTCTATTACTTATAGTCATGTTCCATTTATTCCCTTGGATATTTGGGGGTAACAAGTATTATCTATAAAAAGAAAAAACCTTTCTCTCCTCGTGTGGAATAGTCCTGCCTCATTTCTTACTGTATGGGCTCCAACTTTCAGACATAAAAGTGGTGGCAGAGGTACTGCTATGGTCTTGCCTTTTGAGAGGGTATTTCTTAAGGTTCCAATGTTAAGAATGATGTTGGTCACTGGTCTGAATCTTTCATCATGTCATGTGTTTTTTCTATTCTAATTTTACTCATAATTTTATCATAAATGGATGCTATGCTGAGGCAGCATGGACTCGAGGTATGTATGTTGTGGGTAAATTGGGATGGAGGGGGGTAATTTTACCAAGCTTTGTGGGAGAGAGGAAAAAAAAAAGCATCAGGATGAAAGAAAAAAATTTTGCAGAGAGAAAATGGGGAAACTCTATTCATTTTTTTAGTTGTCTGTTATGCCCCTCTTATCACTTCTCATTCTCTTTAGTTCACCTTAAAAAAGAACAATTTTAATTATTTAGCCTATTATTTATTCAATGGAGTTTCAGATTACCCAATTTCAGGAGGAAAAGAGCAGAAAGGAAACCTTTGAACCTCTGTTAGTTTTCTTTAAAAAATGGTAAATTTGTGAACTATTCCCTATGGGTCAATGGCTCTCAACAGCAACTGTGCTCCCCATTCCTGACATACCTGACTTCCCCAGAAGAATAAAAGACATACTGAACCCCAACCCAAGTAATCGTCCAGCTCCAGACTGAGCTATTATTACCTTATTTAACGTCTGGAACTCTTTTTTTACAGATTAACTGTGGTTCATAATAAAACAAGTTATTCTCACTGTGAAATCCTGACCGATATAGCAAACTGCCTACCTACTATCCTTTTATCCTTCCTCCCTCACCTTTTTTTTTTGTTTGTTTGTTTTCTTTTGACTAATAGAAGCTTGATTTTTTTCTGTAAGTAGCCATAAGCCCAACTGAAATGCCTGCCTCCCCAGACCCACCTGCAGCATCTGGCAGATACTGCTACCTACAATTTATTTGTCAGAAGTCACTGGGATTTCAGGACTGTTTTGAAAAGGTTATAAACCCTGAGTATGTGTCTTCTGGCCTCTGTCCCCCCTTCCTGTCTGGAATAAAGATGGAAGCCTATCTTCCCCCTCAAGAGGATGAATGCAAGATGGGAGAGATGGCAGATCAGGAGCCTACATCCTCGTGACCTCTTACTTTATACCACTGCACCCAGGCTTCTAACTCTAGCTCATGAGTCAAGAGATGACCAGAAAGGGTGTGCTGCATTATGGTTAAAGTAGTATATTCACGTAAGAACTTATCAAGCAACAGCTCATTAACACTAAGAGATCTAAAATGGACACTCGTTTGTTTTATTAGTTACCAGTTACCGAGCTCTGGATAAGTAACCCCCACACGCAAACTCTTCCCAAGGCTATCAAATAATTCAACTGATGCTAAAGAAATACTAACAGCAGTTTCCAGAGTAAATAATGTTTTTCTGGGATACCATAAAGAAATACTATATGGCGAGTGAAAATGTGTCATCTTCAGGACAAAAAGAGCTAGGCTTTCAGTGTACCCAGTGAAGGAAAATAACAATGATCCCAGAGTGTGACCTCTCTCCCCAATGAGCTGGCCGGGAGGGAAGTGCCCAGGTGTCCAGAACCGAGTCCTGAATTTCGTGTATCAGTTCTGACTCGGCTTACTATCTGAAGGGCACCGCATGGAACACAATAACCTGAGCCATTTCTTCTTGACCTACCAAATGGGGACAACTCCTGTTCTATTACACGGGGTTGTACAGAGGATCAAATAAGGTAATAGGATAAATAAAGCTTCTTTATAAACTGAATTGCTACACAGATCAGGGCAACATGATTATGATTACCATATAAATATAAACGTATCCTTAATGATCTGGGAGGTAAATGTATAGCACGGGACTACCAGACCCAGCGCGTCCTCCGCCTCCCCTCATTGACTGTTAGCCATTCCATTAGCACTAAAACAAATGAAGCAGGGAAAATGCCAGGAGCTAAAACTCGGAAAAGGCCTACTTGAATTTAAAAAAAAATAATAGTTATCATAAAAGTTTCAGGAGTAAGGGAAGAGAGCAGGGAGGGCAGGAGAGGAAGGAGAGGAGTAGTATCACAATGCATGGGGGTGGGTAAAGGATAGTCCTAGGCTCACCCCGTGAAATGGTCACTCACTCCTTTAAGAAGATAATTTTCTGTGACTCAATATAGCTACTAATTACTTAACAATATGGAGAAAACAGAGCAGTAAAAATACCTTGTAGAGAAAGCCACTTGATTTTAAAGCAAATAAACCCACCTGCCCTCTAGGAAACAGGGTGTCTCAAGTGCATGGGACTGCCCAGTAGGTTTCCAGTGCTCTGATGACAGGCCTCCTCCCTCCTCCACAGGTGGCACCCACCCCCAGCCACAAACACACAAAGAAATGAAGGGGATCCGAAGAAACTCACTAAATGAGCCCCACATTTTTGGGGAGCTTGTAAGAATACATCAAGGTAGATGCAGAGAAAGCCTTAAAGTAGCAGTTAACAGTAGTGGCAGCAGTCGGGGCATTCAGGATGGTTCACCAAAGGGAACGGCATTAACGACTCAAATTACTAGAGCATGTACCCATGTCCCCAATTAAGTAGAGACTTCATAAAGAAAAATAAATGGGGGCTCCTCTCCAGGCATCCTGAGAGTGAGAACATCAGAAACATAGCACTCATATGCCTTATTCCAATGACACAAGCCCCAAAGCCTAGAAACACCCCACGGGTCCCCTGAGGATGCCTCTCTGCCTGGCCACAGGAACGGCCTTGCACTCACTGTTGATGGGGGGGGGGGGGCTCGGCTCCACCTTGCCGTGGTCAGCCCACATCACCCTCCATGATGTGAGAAGGACTACTCTAACACCAACCCCCCACCCCGGCATTTCCCATCTCCCTGAAGACAATTTTAAAAGTAGAAAAGCAGCCAAACTATGGAAAGAACCTAGATGTCCATCGAAAGATGAATGGATAAAGAAGACGTAGTGTGTGTACACACACACACACACACACACACACACAGGAATACTATGCAGCCATCAAAAGAAATGAATCTTGCCATTTGCAATGACGTGGATGCAACTAGAAAGTATCATGCTTAGCCAAGTAAGTCAATCGGAGAAAGACAACTATCATATGATCTTCCTGATATGAGGAATTTGAGAGGCAACATGGGGGGCTTGGGGGGGTAGGAAAAGAATAAATGAAACAAGATGGGATTGGGAGGGAGACAAACCGTAAGAGACTCTTAATCTCATGAAACAAACTGAGGGTTGCCGGGGCGGGGGGTGGTAGGGAGAGGGTGGTGGGGTTATGGACATGGCGGGGGGGGGTATGTGATATGATGAGTGCTGTGAAGTGTGTAAACCTGGCAATTCACAGAACTGTACCCCTGGGGCTAATAATACAGTATATGTTAATTAAAAAATTAAAAAGAAAAGTAGAGAAGCTGTTATCTAAGCTATTAGCGTGTCTTCTAAGGAAGCCCTGGTTCTCCTCAGGGTTTTTGCTGCACCCTAAGAGGCCAAGCTCAGACTTAGAGCTCAATTGCTGGGGGAGGTTAGAAGGGCTCCATCTTCCTTTCCAAATAAATGTGGAACGCATGGTTTGACAAAAAATCAAATTATTAGTCATCCTAGGTACTCCGATCTCAGGGTTTGACTGTATCCCCTATACTCTATTTTTACCTTAACGGAGGGTGGCTTAAGAACACAGGCTCTCCTGATCCAGGCCTTTCTGCTCATTAAGCTAGACGTCTGCTGGGTGCCAACACGGCTCATCCCCAGAGTAAAACAAAGGCATTAAGCACTTTTTGTGAGCCAAATAAAACTGTCAGACCCGAGTTTTTGATGGGATGTGTTTAATACTACAAGACCTCGGATGTGATCCTGGCCTCCCCAGAAACCTTGTCGCAGGTGCTCAGGTCCACGTGGCGGAGAATACGTGGACTTTGCGGGATGCATTCCACGAGATGGGCAGCTCTCGAGGTGGAGAATAACATTAGTCCTCAACAGTGCTATGTTTTACAATAGGAATTAATTAAGCAGTAAACCGTGACAGGGCATGCATCATGGTATCATAATCACAAGCCTCAGCTGCATTACAAGGCAAAAGGCCAAAGACTGAGAGCTTTCAACCGGCCTGGGAATGCAATTAGGCTGAAATGCTGTGTGTCCTGGAGTGCCTTGATGCCAGGCTAAAAATTCAGAGCCATAACTCTCTCCCTCTAGGACACTAAAGTAATCCACTTGGCTAGCATTCTCGAGTAAGCCACCTTCCCTCACGATTCTTTCAAAGGTCAAATTAAAGGACAATGGGAAATCAGGAATGCCAATGGCACCCCAAGGCAAGGCCCCACCGAAGGCCTGCTTCCTCTACGCATGCGCTGGGCTTGCTTTGTGAAGGTGTCCCAGCCCTGCCCAGACATCTGTCTCACTCTCCTGCGAGACTCACTGTTTGGGCCCGGCTTATGCATTAATAGCTTTATTGGACAATTACTCCACAGTGGTTCAGAGCTGGTGCTTAAAAAGGGATAGAAAGGGATGGGAATATCAGCTAATAGATTTACCATCACCGTTCAGTCAATTAACCCCATGTAATTGGTAAATGGCAGCCTGAACAATTTTCAGTTCTACAAAAGAACACTGAGGAAAGATACGAGCAGAGGACTAGAATAATGCTGAGGTAAACCACTCCAATCCTGCTCCCCTACCCGTACTCCCTTATAAACGGAAATGCAAGAAATGCAACTCCTCCCACTTAAGAATCATAGGTCTGTAATAGTTTCATTCAAATCTGAAACTCTAGAAGGGTTAAAAAAAACAAACACAAAACTTATCAGACAAATCAGGAACTTGGCAGGTTTGAGAGTGCATATTTATAGATTTCAGCAAAAAAATGTACACAGAATATAAATGTGACCATCAGCCATTAAACATTAAAAAAAAAATAACCCCCACACAGCTGGGGTAGATTAAGTACTACTTCAAGTCATTTGAAAGTAGTAATAAAACTAAAATTCCAACAGTGAACTAATCTACAAACCCACCCTGGAATTTAGAATGCAACCTCCTCTTTGGGTGTTAAAGAAAAGGTATTTATCAGTAGCCACTGTTAATGCGGCAGACACATGTACTATAACTATAGTAAAATTAAAAAGCACCCTTATCTTCGCAAACATCGAATTGTACTAATAGAATTTTCCCCACTCCACAAGCATTTCACAGTTGAGTTCATAATAATAGATGTATGTTGTGCAAGATAAGAGAAATGAGGAAAATATTTCTTTCGCTTAAAAGAGCACTGGCAAAAGGTTACTCCATTGAATCACGAATGTTTACAACACTTGACTGAAATTCTTATCACTGTTTTCTCATGAAACTAGAAGCCTGACCCCTGAGGCTTTGTGTTCCCACTCTGCCCCTCACTCAGCCCACAGGCCAGGGTGGGCCAGAGGAGAAACCCATGCATTCTGGCCCCATCACCTCCACAAGTGCTCGGTTTCCCCCCCACCTGCAACAGCAGCAGGGAGATCCTCCGTGCCAAGCTCCAGAGCTGACTTCCGGGTAGCCTCCGCAAGGAGCAAGCACTCCCTGCTCCCTGAAATACTTCTGTAGGTGGCACCAGCCCTGTGCTGACAGCACAGGGCTGGTGTGACCTCCAGGGGCTAGGATGCCACCCCAGGATGCAGCAGGCCTCGCAGCATCTGGAAAGGCCTGTGCTAAAAAGCATTTCTCACCTGCTGCAGGATGTGTCTCTCCCTCAGCGTCATTAACCTTCTGTGAAGCTCCACCAGTTCGTCTAGGTAGGCCTGAAAGGGAAGTCACCAAAAGAACAAGCACTTTAGGAAGCAATCCAAAAATAACACAACAAATAGCCAGGAACAGACAAGCAGCTTCTGGAGGTTCCCCATTCTACCTCCCTTGTCTACACTGTGTGGACTCGGTACCCAAGGCTCCCACAGACTGAGTCTCTCTGGACCAACTGTTATCCCTACAAAGCTAGCTTTTTTTATGAGGGCAAATTCTTGCACTTAATTTACTCTCAACAAGATCCAAGGGAGCAGACCCACCCTCTCCCAGTAACACTGGGGAGAGTGGGTACTCAATGGTAAATTCTGAGCTTAAACATATGAGCACAGGCTTTTTTTTTTTTTTTTAATTCTTCCATCTCAGAAGATTTTAAACTAAGAGAATAAAAAAGTCTGCATTTAAACATGGAAGTATAAATGCACGTAACCAAGGACAAATTCTTAAAAAAAAAAAAAAAAAGAGGTTTGCCAGTCATACCTAACAATATTGCCAGTAAATACCAAGTGACAGAAGAGAATATCTTATGAAAAACAGAGATGATTATCCAAATTAGCATCTGGTTTGTCAAAAGCTCCCCTGAAGGGGCAGAAGCACACCTCTCTTTCCATATGCTCAGATTCCGGAATCTTTTAGTGTAACTGCATGGGTTTTCCTAACGCCGTTGGCCATGAAGGCAAAGGAAAGGTTTGTGAAGCTTTAGTCAGGCCTGCCTTGATCCTGCAACGCATGTTATGACCCTGCCCACAATAGGAAACTAACCCCCCGACAGGTCTTGAAGTCATATCTTGAATGCACGATGAACACTTGGAAGCACACTAAACGAGGATCAGGTGTCCCGCTCACTTACGGCTGCAATTCCTCAATCCTCTACCGTGGTGTTCTTACCTCCCAGCTCAATGTGCCCAAAACCCCTTGGCAATGCAGGGCATCATGGAAAACAGTAGCATGAGAGCCCAGTATCACACTGAAGATATAAGTAAGACGTGGAAAACAAACACCAAAGCACCAAGAAGAAGTGCTCATCATTTGGGGGTGTGGGACACTTCCAATGAAGACATGGAAGGGGAGCTGGCAAGGACTAGTCAAAGGAAACACCAAGGGAAGCTGGTCAGTGCTACCGCACACCCAGGAACGCCCTGGAAACCTACCTTGTCACATTCACCATTCTTTATTTGCTTATCTGATTTGCTTTGCTTTATTGGACTTTTCACTTCAAGAATCTAGGGATCGAAGAAAACACAGGTAAATTTGATTCAGGCACTTCGTAGCAACGCCCCCCACCCCCCAAACAAAGGCACAGAGGCATGAAATGTCACACAGTAATATCACTTTCTAAAGTGCACTTCTCTCTACATTTTCTTTCTTCTCTTCTAATCTCACTCTTTCTTGAAAATAAAGGACTTCTATCTGAAATGCTGAGTCAGGGCAACAGACTTTAAAAAAAGAAAAAAAGTTGACGATAAAGAAATTGATCTAAGCTTCCAAGGCTGTTTTTGTGACGACACTCTCACACATATGCACAGCAGCTGAGTTATACTGGATTATAGTCCCCTCTGGCAAGAATTTTTTCATACTCATTCTGCTGTTTCAGCATGACTACCGGAGCTCAGCATGCTGGGGATGATAAAACAAACACTCGAATGACCTTTTTAGTACCTGACTTTCAGATTCTTAAAATTACTCATATCCACTAAACGGATGCAGCTTTGGAAATGAAGATGGCCATCAGTTACACGGGTTGCTCCCAACGTGGGATCCTCCCACACAAGAAATAGAGGGGGCAGAACTATTTTCTGCATTTCAAGAAACGATGTGTTTACTCATGATAAAATACCCTTCCATGTGTCTGCCCTTCCATGTGACTCGATTACAGTTTAGGGTATGAACGGAAGTCCCACGTGCTGTTTAGAAGCTTCCATGGGGAACTCGGGTTTTAATGACTTAGAAGGAGAAACAAATTATTATTTAATAAATACAGTTAGTTTATTAGAGTCCTCAACATTAAGGATTATAAGGGAAATATTTTTAAACAGGCCTTGTTTAAAACCGCTGAGATCCACTAAATATATTGATGAGTGTTTACAAATGTATATAAACATAAAAAGCAAAGTACTTTGTCTTTTTCATGATAACCTCATTAGCAAGTGAGTTATAATCGGAAGCTAATATTAAGGAGGAAAATACCAAATAAAGGATGTATTTAAGAAGTCTCATATTTGCTCTTCTTTATCCATTCTCTGCTCTGACACACACACCCAGAGTTCTGTTCAAAAGTCTACCATATTTCATAACAGACTTTTCAAATGAGCCCACTTTTAGTATGTAGTGGAAAGAGCCCTGATTAGGCTCAGAAACCTAAGTTCAGGTCCTGGTCCTATTACTTAGCATTTTTGGACCTCAAAAAAGGTGAGATGAAATAAATAAGAGAAACATGATGAACGAGATTTGGCTGTAAAATGTTATACTACCAACAAACAGTTTACCTATTGGGGATATAGGACCGTGACATTCTGGGAAAGACCAAATACTTCTAAAAGGGTATATTTTCCTTTGAATTTAGAATAATGCATGGGTAAGAAGTGAGCTTCAACAGAGTCTTTCCTGAGAATTGCCACTATTTTTTCATTTTTAACATCAAGATAACCAGATGACCAACCTGACCAGGCTCAGTCACTTAAAATACAATACTTTGGGCAACACAAGGAAATTACTTAATCGCTGGGGCAAGGTAATCTTCTTTAACGTGCTGCGCTGTAAGGAAACCCAACACTCCACCACATTCAGAATTTCCTTCTCTATTGTTGTTGGAAATGAGACCTCAAGGGGAAACTCTGAGCTCGGAGACCTAGGAGTAAGTAGGTCAGTAGATGGCACTCCTCGCCAATTTAGACACACGGCTGGGCAACGCAGAGACAGTCGGCCAAGATTCCAGGCCAGAGAGAAAAACAGCGCCTGCGTGCTTGCCTTGTGCAGAAGAAAACGGAACTGTGTTGCCATAATACCCCACTCTGCCTGCCCCCCTTTCCCTGGACTCTGGGGGTCAGAGTCACTAAGGACTCTGTATTTGTACAGCAACTCTGCTAACCAGGTTTAGAGAGTTCCACCACCTCTCTCCAGAGCAGAAAATAGAACATTCGGGGCACTTAAGTCCCACCCTACACATTCCGTAAGTGCTACAGCACAGAAGGCCAAACTACATTGAAATCCTCGTTTCTTTCTTCTGAAGCTGCAGTGGCAGGAACAAAAGCTCCGGGTGTCAGTGATCCGCCTCAAGTTACTGAGTGGCTGCCCAGAGAGGGCTCAGTTAATCTTCCTTCTTTGATCTCTCCCTGCTCCAAAATAAACAGCTTTGTCAAAACCTCATTCTGAGAGAGCTGAGCCATGCTGAAGACAATTGTTTTATTTATGATCATTTCTTATCTTTGAGGAAACGACTCCAGAATACAAAAGTACAGCACCTTGTCTTCCCTGGGCTTATTTCAAACCAGTTTAACTGGATGGACTCTTTAATTTCGTCCAACATGCCTTGCAAGCTGAGAGGTAATTTATGATATTCTGAATATTAACTTGGGTCCAGTGGATCACTTCCTTTCCTCAACAGCCCCTTCCTCCCCACCCCCTTCTCTATACTTTCAGCCAGAAAGGATCTGGAATTTTGATTTTGTTTGAAACTCGTGTACAGGAGGTTTGGAGTCTAATAATACACACACACGTATACACACACACCCCCTTTGATTAAAATGGCACTGTACTCACTAATATTCCCTTATTGAGCTTTACTGAAGGAGACAGCCACCCAGCCTGCCAAGATGCACCATTTACACACATGACAGTCCCCTAAAACAGAACTAAGATTAGCTGCACTTCAATCCTTAATCTGAGGATATAGCTTGAGAATCAAACTTCCAAGATTATTATTTTTTCTGTATCCCTTTGTGAGGACTGACAACTCAATTATTCAGCAGATGGATTCTCTACTGATAGGTCTTTCATGTTAATGTTCGTGAGTAGCTCCTAACAATGCTCAGGTTAATTACTCGCTTTGTTGACATGTAGCTCTCTGTCTGCTCACTTTTTTTCAATAGTTAGAAAATGTTTGACTCAATTAGCACTTTCTCTCTTTCCTAGTCCCTGGAAGATTTGAGAACCAGTAAGGGGAACTCGGCTTTGTCTCGTAATTTACAGAAATTTGAGAGCTAATTATCAACTTGCAGACAGAGAGCAACCAAGGAAACTCATACTCTTAGAAGCCTAACTGTGAAACATGAAGTCTGTTTTCATCTATTTTATTTGATGTGAAATTTCAAATTATCACACATACATTCAAATAAAGATGGAAAACACATTCCAGGGTGAAATTCAGAGGACTTTTCTATTTTTAATTAATTCTTACTCTTCCACTTCACCGGCATGGAGAACTAATAAATAAGACTAGCTAATTTTTAATAAGTCCTAGAACATGGACGTAAAGGGACAGCAACACACCTGACCCAAAGCAGGTGACTGGAGGGGTTAAGAAATCAATACTCAACAAAGTTTTAAAACCCTTCTGCTCCCTGTTCCAAGACAGCCCCAAGAAGGTAAGTGCTCTTGCGGTGCTACACGTATTTCCTAGCCTAGACTAGCTAAAAGTGAAAGCATATGGACTTTCTTATTATGCTTATAGGTGCATGAAGGAAGTGACATATAACTGAGTATTCCTGACAGATTGATGATTCACATGTGTGAAGCTACATTTGTCGAATAAACATATGCCAAGGAACCAGTGGTATGCTATCTAATTGGAGAAAGTAATTTTTACCCTCACCAGATAGATGATACCATTCATTTTTTTAGTCTCGTTTTGCTAGACAGGTTAAAAAAAAAAAAAAATCTGACAAAGAACCCAAACCTCTCCCTGAAACCAAGACTTGAGCCAAGTCAGCTGAAGGCTGCCCATCCAGGAAGTGGCGAGGGTGGTTTGAAAGGCAAGATGGGGGACTTGTAGAGCTGCATTTCTTTATCAAGCACAGTCTTGACGGGGAATGAAGCTGAAGGGGCTTGAGGAAGGGCTTACCTAAGGCCGCTAACTCCTGACAGTGCACTGCTGCCGCCCAGGAGGGACCCTGGTTCTAACACCGCCCCGCCCTCCATAGGAAGTGGAAATCAGGGTGCCACGGGCTTAAATTAAATGTGCAAATATATTCAAAGTCCAAATTCTATCCTTTCGCCAGCTTATAATGAAGCACGGATTTATAAAAGAAACTCAAGTTATCTAGTTAGCCAGCCCAGGGCTCTTTCTAACTGATCGGCGAGGATGGTTACTCCGTAGTAACCGTCATCTTCATCTTCACCTGCCCAGGAAGTGCCTGATGTGTGGCTGGCCGGGCCAAGGGCATGGCTGGCACTGCAGCTGGGGGACACTGGGACGCGAGGTGGTAGGGTAAGGAGTAAGAACGCACTAACTCCTTGGACAGCCAGTCCGTAACAGACGATGAGACTGGCCTTGAACTCACATGCAGGCCACAAAGACACTGCAGTTGAATGAACACGGTGCAGTGGAGGACACTGATATTATTCCTACGCATAATGAAGGCTTTAAGTTGTGGATAAACTTCATAAACGAGGTATTTTAAATTTTAGGAGATCTTATGCTTTATGCAAAATTTAAAAAGAGAAAATCTTCAGCTATAAAAATCACATTTCTCAGTAAAGCAAAGATCACAAATTCAAGGACAAAGCTGTTTAAAATTGTAGGACATCTGTGAAAGAGAATAATTTCAGAAAAGCACAGTTTTTTCATTCTCGAGTTCATAATATTCATAGGGTAACTTGGATTAAGCAATTATTTTAGAGGTCACAGGGAATCTGCCTAAACAAAGAGAAAAGAATAGCTTACATAAATGAGTGTATCAACTCAAGGCACTATGAGGCTTTTACAATATTCATGATACTTGAAATTAGTTTATTTTAGTATTTAAAATATCCCATTCTTAATCATTTGTTTAACAAAAGCTCTTCATCATCGCTTTCGAAGTTCTGCCTAGACCTTATCCAAATAACTGTATTCTGAATTGACTATTAAATTAGTAAGGCCTCCTCTTTGCTTGATTTATAACAATGATAATGACCATTATTTATTCTGCATTTTATTAACTGTTCCTTACAAGTCCAAATGATGACCCTCTTTTCCTGGATGAGCCCACAGAGGCAATGCACCTACAATAACAAAGATCTACTCCCATCAGCTGAGTGCCAAGTAGGCCTGAGCATGGCCCCATGCTCTTTACAAATACGGTATCCAACATCGTCCCAAGAGTTGACAGGTATTAATATCCCCATTTATGGATGAGGAAACTAAGAATCAAAAGTTCAGAGTTAATTTCCCAGCAGTATACTACTGTCAACTAGTAAAACAAAGAACCAGGCTTTATCCTAGCTCCAAAGATTATATTCTTTCTAATTCATTAATTAGTCCACTTAACCGCAGAGAAAAAAAACCAAAACCAAACCAAAACAAAAAAAAAAAAAAACCACACAGCAATCTGGAGCAAAAGAGCAGCACTTCTGTCACCATCCCTTCCTGCATCAATGTAGTTAACCCATCTGACGGGATACACTTCTCAAGACAACAGAAATTCTTTCACCCCAACTATGTGCTTTTCCAAAGGCTGTAGACTCCTCTTGATTTTCTAGTGAGAGAAGCACTGTTTAAAATTAAGGGATAAAAAGCTTTGTGTGCTTTGTAAAAACGATCACAACCTGGTTGGGCAGAGTCCTGAAGAGTGCAAACCCAGCAATTTACCTGGTTGTTGTTGGTTTTTAATAAAGGTGGCGGGGGTTCGTGGTGGAGGGGCGAAGCAGATGAGCTGCTTTCACTGTCGCTGCCGTCACTTAAGCTAACTCTGAAAAGACAAAGAAGTCACACGCATCAGTACAGGCAGTTCTTGAAACATCCACAGACGTAGGCGCAGAGAGCAGAGAATCCAAACACTAAGCACCAGAAACTTGCTTCGACTCCCGCAACTGCTAACCCACACTGGCACTGACTTTGTATGGAACCGTGCTAAGTGTTCTAGCGGCTGTTTCTCACTGAATGACCCTTATTTCAACAGATGAGCAAAGAGACTTAGACTAGGTCACTCGCCTCGGGTCAAGAGGCAAAAGGGGTGGTTCTGGGATTCAAACCCAGGCAATGGAACCCAAGGTTGGGGCTCAGCCCCTGTATTGTACTGGCCCTATTTATTCTCGTTATCTCCCTGCTTGAACTCCACCCCACTACTATCACCTAGAGTGCTACCCAAGCGGGCAGGTCAGCAAAATTAGATAGTTTGTAGGTTACTGCCTTTTAGTTTCCTCTCCCCCCTGCTTCTTTGCTACAGGTGAACCCAGGCTGTGGGAGTGGAAGTAACTGCTGAGAACAGGGGCAACTGGACTGTATGACTGAGAGCTCGGGGTGACATTGAGGACAGGCTGTGTGAACCCCACCAAATATTTCTACCCCATAATGATGCAAGGCTGTCCCTAGTTTTGACCACTGCTACAACAATTCACCAGAAATATACTGCAGCAACATGAAGAGACAATGTGTTTGGGGTAACCGCTTTCGAGAAAGAGAGTATCTTTCAACAACCAAAGACAATGCAAAAACATCACTCCTCCCCTATTTTTCTCTTTTCAGAACAAAATGGAATTTTCTTTTTACCCAGGGTAAGAGATATTTCTTTATTCTACTCTACTGAATGTATACCCTCCTTCTGAAACGTCCTTCAGTGTTTGCTCTCTCTTTGGCTATACAGACACCTAATATAATATTCTTTTCAGAAACAGAAAATGCTTTAGAAATCAGGAGAGTTTTTCTTTCACTCTGAATAGGCAATCACATTCCAGCTCTATAATATATTCAGATAGACAAGATACAAGATAGGAAATGAAAAGGATACGCTGGGACATCCTTTTAGCAAAAACGGATGGAACTTGTTTTTCTTAACTAAATTACATTAATGAAGTGTTCCGTTGAAGCGCCGCTTTAAAATGCTTCTTGACTGAAGTGGAAGGCTGAGTATTTAAACTGATTAAACAGTTGAGACTTTGCAAGTGCAAGGAAGACCAAATGTTACACTGGCGCTGCCGTGCTAACAGCCCATGTCAGGCGGGGGGAGAAGCAGGCAATCTGCAACAACGGAGATCCCATCAGACAGCTCACAAGCCTGTGTGATTTGACCCACCCCGACTCTGGGCACAGGGCAGCGAGTGGGTGGGCCATAGCCCATCACAGCATATCTAGATTTTCTAAATAAGAGTGTAACTGGAAATTGCCTAAATAGGTCATGCGTTTCTCATCAGGTAAATCTGAGAGCTGCCAGCAGTCAGGTGGGTATCAATATGCTCACTGCCATGTTCCAGTCCATTTTTAGATCTTCCTGTCCTATGAGTTAGTTTCTGTCTTGTCAGATTAAAGAGTTCTAAAGGGAAATGTTATAACACCACGGCTCTAAGGCTCCTTGTTTTCTCCTGTTGAAAAAAAAAATACATATAGATAGATAGATAGCTGGGTGAGTTTGGGAGACAAGGTGGAGAAAGAGAAGGTGGGTGTTAAACATTGATTATGGCCGCAGGGAAGCTTTGCCAAAAGATCTGATAGGGCGCATATACTCACTCCGGGGAGCCCTTCTCCCGGGATCCTAAGGAATAAACAATTAGGAAACACATGATCTGTCCAGCTGGGATTAAGAAGGTATTCTTTTGAGGAATTCTAGGGCCTTCTACACAGTAATGGATAACGGGAAAAGATTTAATGCAATGTATTACAAATGTAATTGGATTTTAAGTTCAAGTAGATTCATATTTTTTCTACTCAAACACATTCAAGTAAGCATGCCTATTTGTTTTCCTCATGATAAAGAAATAAAACCCTCAAGGCAATTTCAAGTTGACTATTAATTATAAGTGACATGAATTACCATCTTATAATGTGGAATTATGCCTCAAAGCATTAAAGCTACTTAAGGAACCTAATTGTCAGCACACTTAAAAGGAATTTATTTGCTGGAAAACACACACAGGTGATCCTAGTTTTAATTAGGTCACACACATAATTCACTGACGCCAATTATGTCTTTCTAACTACAAACAGCAAACATGTTGCCTCAAACTCTGAGGCTATAGCAGTGGCTCTCCAGAAACTCTTCAAATGAAAATGGAATTGATTTCAACAGTCAGTCCTGCCACCTTGGAACAGACTTTAAAGAACAGGACTCTTGATAGGATGTTTTCCCTATAGAATTTGTAGAGGAAAAAGCCTCTGCTTTCTGAGAAAAGGGATACACAGTTCCCTGTAGAAAGAATGACGATAAGCACGCCTAGGCGACCCAATTTAAATGAATGTGACCATCTCCTACCACTGTTTTGGGTGTTGCACACCTTCACCATGGTTATGCTGGTTAGTCTGGGGAAAAGACATGATTGCATTGCAGGGAGCCGCGTTCCTGCCGAGACACTCACCTGCGGCTTCGGCTGCCTCCTCTATTTACAGGTCTCTCCATTTCGGAGTCATTGTCATTATCCTCTGCCTCATCTGATTCCTCCTCATTGTCATCAGAATGCAGATCTTTCATTATAGACCTCAAAGGACCTGAGGAATGACAGCGTGCCACAATTAAACACACTACCTCATACACACTTAGTCATACTGGACATAGGGGACGGCTCCCCAGCACTGAACGTTGCCCCCCCCCCGGACCAAAATAACCCCAAACCCAAAAAAACCATGACTATATATATTTATACAAATGACAAAACAAATTTGGTAGTTTCTGGAATGTAACACATAACCAAAACACTACTGTTTTCACAACAGATGCCCCAGGATGTTCACTGGAAAACCTCTATTTCCTAGGAATGTTTTTCTATGTATTTTTTCTTCCCTAAGAAAAATTACACCTAAAGAGGAACAGAAAGATCTATTAGTAAATTGAATGTTTTGTTAGGTTAATCCATGTATTGAAAAGTTGAGGCTAATAAATCACCGTGGTTGTAACTTGTTCTAGGCAATGCAGCCTTTGTGTGGTAGTTTTTGATCTATTAAGGTTTAGCTGTTTCTTTTATTTCAAGGTCAATTTCAGGTCAAGCAAGCATTTCAGTCAAGTTCAGATTATAAAGTATTTCAATTCCATGGTGTAATGTCCTATCTCTGATCTTCATATTGATCTTGGACACAAGGTCTTGTTCAAGCAACAATTTTATGCAGCCAATTTTTATTTTACCTTTTAAGAAATTCCTGGCAAAATACCAGCATATATTTACATAAATAAAACCATGCAATAAGTCAGGTGCCCAGAAAGTTCAAGAGAGTATCCAGTATTAGATGCGAGAGAAGAAAAAAAAACTAAGTCATAACTAGTTTTTATTCTAGAACAGGACATAATGGGGCGGGGGGGGGGGAATAAAAACAAAAAACAAAATTCAGTGTGGCTTATTTTCACTTGACTGCTCTAAATGTGATGAAAACAAGATCACTCTTTTATGTTAAAGAAGAGATTGTGGAGGCAATCAAGAAAGTGAGAAAGGCACTTTTATTCTGGATTAGGCAATTCCTAAAGTCTAATCTAGGACATGAATATCTGAGTTATTGGTTAGCTCTAAAATAAGTATTGATTCTCTGCAGTCTCCCACTCTGCAAAACCCGAATTACTCTGCTTTTGTAGTGGGCTTGTATCTTCGGAAGTGAATGTAACAAGAAATCTGAGTAGCCCAAATGATCAGTGTCTTTATTTTTTCCTGGAAGCTTAGACGTAGCTCAAATACACGCAACAATTTAATCCTTGTCAAAACTTACACGAGGCCATTGGGAACTGAGTACGGCCAATGAAAAAGCTAATGTGTAACGCAATGCTCAAAACCAAATTACTCCTTCATATGATCTCACTTTTCATGTTGGAAAAAAAAAAAGGAGCCCTTATTTGAAGATTTCCACACACAAAAAAAACATAAAATATATATTTAATGTTCTGGCTTAAATTTCTTTGTTACATGTCTTTACATTTAAATTTAAGTTCAAATAGAGGGAAAATAAATTTTAAAGACAGCAAACTAACACTTGCCAAAGAAAACAGGTCTATTAATCTGTAGAATAAATAAATAAATAAAATGAAAGACATCCAGAAGGGAGAGTAAAAACCTATTTCTCTATGTCAGAGCCTCTCAACTCCAGCTTTTGCTATTGTATTTCCTTTGGGAGCTCCCCGGAATGGGCTGTGTCTATAATCCTTTTGTAAAATGGGACCCTGATGGCAGGGACTGGCAAAAGGGGAATTTCTAGAGGTTGGCCTCATACATCAGAACAATACTCAAGTGCATTCCTAGGGGAAATAAATACAACTGCATAAAAGCCAAGATATCATTCAAATAATAAAACAGTAGAAAATAGACCATAAATCAACTCATTAAGATGTTTTACGAGAAAAAGGTCTCATCGTTTGCCTGGGAGATACGGATACCTTGTTGCCTGGTCTGGGACGGCGTGAAGCTGGAGCTGGAGCTGGAGCTGGAGCTGGCAGGGCTGGGCTGTTCAGACTTTAAAGAAGAAGAGAAAGCCATCATCAATAAATTTATGGGACTCGACACATCTAAAATTAAAAAACAACATTACTGCTCAAAAACACTTTCCTCTGCAAAAACAGTCCCACTCTGTGCAAGAAAAATGAACACACATTGCATTATGCCAAAAACAGCGGCCCAGGAGGACTATGGTATCCTTTTTGTTTTGTCCACCATGTTTTTACTAGATGCAGAAACAAGGATGATGAGACAAACACCTGGGTGTTACAGGACAGAAGAACCTGTCTTTGATTTCACTCCTGTGTTTACCGCTATCCAAATCTCTTTTAAAAGATTACCTTGATTACCCTTTCTGCAATGTTTGATTGACTCAACCAGCTAAAACATAGTGGTAATGAGGCCAAGGTCATTAGTTCAATCACATTATGAGCCAGTTAATTTCACTCTGGTCCAAGGCCATGACCCAACCCTAACCCCATTCATCCACAGTTCACAAATAGAGGTAATGTTCACAAGGAGATCTGGCCAAGTCCCACACATGAGTCAGTGGGAAATGTTGCTACTACTTTAAACATACACACACACACCACCCTCTATTCCACAGCCTCTGGATGCAGGGAAAGAACATCATACACATGCCCCACTCTCTCATCATGAATTCTCCTCATCCTCTAATATCCAGAACAAGTTCCACATCCTCCCTGACCTGACCAACTCACAGCTGTCTTCCTTCTCCAAACCCACTGAAAATGTGGATCTCATCGGTTTATCTGATATGCTGCGGTGTTATGCTGCCTCTGATGTTTGTCCTTCCTGTCCAGTAGACTGCAGGGACTTGAAAAGGCAGGGGTGTGGGGGTCTCTCCTGAGCTTACTATCCTCTCATACTTAGCAAATGCATGCATACAGCAAGCACTCTGTATCTGGGACTGAAGGCAGAGCATTAGGTCCTCTGCTCTATCATCTGCCAGTTTTTATGAGGCTTCACAGTAGGTAAAGGTGGGAAGAACAAGTACATGGAAAGAACTGTGCAAAAAAATTGATCATACGATCAACACACTTGAATTTTATGTATTTAGGCCAAATTTAAAATAATAACTTCATGTTGGACTGTTTCTATCCCATTTCTAATGTGCTCACAGTCTCAACTATATACTTGTTATTTGAGACATAGATGAGGTCTTTTCATGCACAAGATAAATCTCTCTTCTTCCGACTTGGTTCTTGGGGGGACTAAGTTATCGGGGCCACATGGAAGATAAACTAAGAGCACCATGAGCACCATCAGAGGCCACAAGAGGAGGAGGAGAATATCGGTTCAGCTTATAACGAGGTTTTCTCACCACAGATTTCTTTTCATCTCCGTTCCCAGCACTGAATCCCAACCCCCTTCTCTGCGGGCAACACCAAGATCCAGACTCGGACACAAGGAAGCACTTTCAGGCATTCCTACTGCACACTTCACATCCTCAGGCTGGATGGGAAAACAGGTGTCAGCAATCTACCACTCATTCAGCAGGAAAAGAGCCAGACAGGATCTCTAATGAGCAGCAGGAGGCCACCAGCCCTTTACCACTGAGAGATTTACTTGAGATTTGCAGTACAATGTCCAACACGTTGCGGTCCGTGACCCACAAAGAAGAGCCGGTGTACAAGCACAAACGCCCGTGCAAGGGACCCTTCACTTCTGTTGAGTGGTTCTTCCACTGTTGAACCACAAAGGTGAGCTACACTGTGCAAGGGCACTCAGTGAGCAGTTCTGTGCAATGCCCAGCTGCAAAACATTTCTCCCTGCAGCCGTGGAGTACTCCTCCTCTCCAACTTGCTCTTTTCAGCCACGAAAAGTGTCTGCAAACGGTATTATTTTGATAGCTCTGGAAACCATTTGGGAGCCAAAAAAGAGGTTTCCTTACAGTGAGTGGAGAGAGCTCTAATTCCCCCTCCTGCTGGACCAGTCATGTTGCACTGGACTTAAAGGGGCCGTTCTGCCAGAGCTATTTGCTGAGTGACATTAATCAGGAAAGCAAGAGGGGATGGTGGCCATCTCCCCAACTACCCCATGCTAAACTTGATCCATCTGTCTCAAGCATCATGCCAATGCCAGAACCAAACCTGCAGGCAGCCTTCTTTTAGCTTCTTAACCACAAACAAGGTTAATAAATCCAGTTACCAACCATCAGAAAACTGACAAAGAGTAAAGAACATAATACAACAGGAGACAAAGGCTTTCACTCAATGTTTATCATAACCACCATGCCTGATCCACAAAGCATTTGCGGTTCATGACAGAAGACACATTAATTCACTGACAATATTAAAATAGAAACTTTAAAGCAACAGAGGTGAATGGAGAAGGATAAAATGTTGAATGATGGGCAGCAAATCCTATGTCCTGGAAGGTTTTTGTAACCAGGACAAGGACTTATGGTTTGGGAACCAAGGAGACAAGGAGTCTCGCACTTTCATGGGCATTAGAATTACCTGGAGGACTTGTTAAGACACAGACAGCTGGGTCCACTCCAGAGTTCCTGAATCAATAATTCTGGGATTGGGATGAGAACCTGGATTCCATAAAGATTTTCCAAGCGATACTGCTGCTGCTGTTCTGGGGACCAACCAGACTTTTAAGACCCAATGATCAAGGCTCTGGAGAGCTGCAGCCATGGATACTGATCAGAATCAGTTGGGGGATTCTATACATAAGGAAATTCTGATTAAATGGGTTTGGTGTGGGGGTCCAGGTATATTTATATTAGAAAAGTTCAAACAAATGATATTAATGAAAATTCCAAGTAGAATACCACCAATACTATGTTAGTCATTTTGTTCCTTTAAATGCAGAAGCATGTTTGGGAAAAAATCATAAATTTAAGAAAGCATCTGAGGGAAAAGAAAAAAAAGCATCACAAGAAAAATTAGAAACTTACTGATGTAAGTAGCATCCCTTTATACTCATCAAAGTGTTTTGCAAGAAAACACTCGGAAAGAATGCAGTTACCTCTCAATAAAAACATCTAAGAAGCATGTACAAAATCATGTCATAGTGGATGGACCTTAAACTTACCCAGCCAGACCAGGACTGAACTCAACTACATGTTAACTGTTTTAAAGCCATTCTGCTACTAGATGAGGCTGACATGGTCTTATATTTTATCAAATCCAGCCAAATGGAGCTGTTCTTCACTTTAATTTTTTAATTTATTTGACAGAGATCACAGGTAGGCAGAGAGGCAGGCAGAGAGAGAGGAAGGAAAGCAGGCTCCTTGCTGAGCAGAGAGCCCAATGCGGGGCTCAATCCCAGGACCCTGGGATCATGACCTGAGCCGAAAGCAGAGGCTTTAACCCACTGAGTCACCCAGGCGCCCCTGTTCTTCACTTTAAATATGATTTTATTTTAAAATAAAATACAGACCTACTCTCCAAAAATGCAAATCCAGGATGATTTTATAAACTAGGAAAGGAGTATGGTATATACACACACACACACACACACACACACACACACAACACCATAAACAGGGCTAGATTAAGGTCTTTTTTTTTTAAATTTTTAAGATTTATTTATTTGTCAGAGATCACAAGTAGGCAGAGAGGCAGGCAGAGAGAGAGTGGGGGAAGCAGGCTCACCGCTGAGCAGAGAGCCCAATGCGGGGCTCAATCCCAGGACCCTGAGATCATGACCTGAGCTGAAGGCAGAGGCTTAACCCACTGGGCCACTCAGGTGCCCCTAGATTAAGGTCTCTAAGGTACCCAAGGACTGAAAAGATTATTGCATCCTCTTTTCCCCTCCTTATGTCTACATGTGCCAAAACCTATGTATAGGGAACTTTAATGAGGTTCTGATTTCTCCCATTACTAATTTGATACTTGTTTTTGAAATATCAAAACTCTACACACACACACACACACACACACACACACACAAAATTTCTGGCTTTTTCCTGTTGATGCCCCAATGCTCATGTTTATAGCTGACCTTTTGAGTAATCAAACACTAGACATGGAAGTGTCTTTAAATGGCATGCTCCACAGTGACAAAAATCTAGTCTTAAGAACCTCAAATTTGGGACACAAACCATAAGAGACTCTTAACTACAGGAAACAGGGTTATAAGAGAGGATGTAGGTGGAGGGATAGGGTAAAGGGGTGATGGGCACTAAGGAGGGCACTTAATGTAATGAGCCCTGGGTGTTATATGCAAATGATGTATCACTAAACTCTACCTCTGAAACTAATAATACATTATATGTTAATTAATTGAATTTAAATTTTTAAAAACTCAAATTTTATGACAATCATTATCATATCATTCATTAAGTGTTAAATTTAGAAATTTCTCACCTTGCCTGCTCAAGCCTTTTTACAGTATCTAACAAAAACCTGACTTTATTCAGATAAAAAAAAAAAAAACCTTTAGTGTGTAGGTTTTTTGGGAAGACTGCTTAGGCGTTAATGTCCTCAGAGTGAGGGCACTAAGCCTCCTGTAGAAGTAAAGCAAAAACTCCCAGTCCACGACTCTTCCAGTGGAAGCTAATCAGCATTTGGTTGCTACCACTTTTTTTTTTTTTACAATAGACCACATATCCCTCTTTTGCCTAAAAGAAGATATATCTTTACTACCAAAACGATGGCCTACCAAGATTTGCAATGGAATCTTCAACATGAAATGGCTATGCAAAATCATTCTGTAATAGATTTTCTACAGAAGATTATTTTTGTCCAAGACAAGTAAGAAAAACCACATGTTTACAACTGCTACAAGTTACGTGCTTTCAAAGAGAACACCTGTCAAGGCAGGTCACATGAGAGGGCTTTTACAATCTGGCATCGTTTCTTAACACTAGGAGTAGGCTTCTTCCTTAGGTAATCAGAAGACAGAAGTTCCATCTTTTCTCACAGGCAACAAGTATTTATGAACAAAACTTCAACTTGATCTTTAAAACAATCAAAATAAAGAAAAAGGGGAAGAATAACCTACTCTTTTTTTTTTCCCCCTTCAGGGGAAAGGGAGAGAAT